CAGTACTCATACCACTGGTTGAGAAGCACTGATCTGTTCCGCCTCAAACATCAGCAGGTGGTTCCTTGGTTCCCCTGCTTACGGGGGTGTACGCCCAGCACATTGGGCCTGGAGAACTTTGCCTAGCAGTGCCTGTAGTGGGGCACTGATGGCGCCTTGTGGTCGTAGCCCTTCCCTGTCTATATATTAGGTGGCAGCATCCCAGTCTTCCTCAGTTCCTTCTTCCTGCCCATAGCTGGAGTCAGAACTCATTGCACTCTTCCATCTCTTCAGAGAGGCTTCTACAGTTGATAATGAAATTGCAACACTCAAACCCGAGGACATTCTCCAATCTGATGAGCATAAGTGCAGAAGCAGGCTGCATGTTTGGGAATATTTGTTTGGTGATCACACCCCCACATAGTGGTCAATATTTAAATCTCGGTGAGGGCATCAGCAGGGAAATAATTAAACTACAACTAAAAAACACTAACTTTAACTAGCACTATACTAAGGGTACTAATTAACTGTATACAATGGTAAGCCACTAAAAAAAAAAAGTCATTCTGTTGTCAAGTGCCAGTATTGGCATCCCCATAGTGTTAATAGAATCAACAGCTAGACAAGCCCGTCCTGCCTTTTCCTGCCAGTCTACTTCTATATAGTTTGTGGATTTTTGACTCCTCATTTGGAAGCTTGGTTAACAATTCCATTTTCTAGACATTTTAGCAAGGAAGATTGCTTTTTATTTAGGCAAGTGATCAAAGTCCTTTTTATACTACAGATTGGATCTTCCTGGTCTGGCACTTTTGGGGCCTTGAGCGATCATGAACCAGGGAGTTTGTCAGGCCAGAGAAAGTCAGAGTTCCCCTCCCACCTGTCAGCCCTGCTTCTGTCCTGCTCCTAGGCACCAGTCCTGGTCTCTACTCTGGCTCCGTTCCCTGCCCTGCTGGCCCCACTGCTGCTGGCTCCCACCACTAGCCCTGGCTTGAGCTGCACTCCCTCTGCTGCCAGCCCAGACAGGGCTGCACTCCACACCCTGGCTGGCCCCCACTCCCAGCTGCCAGGGCTTTTTCATCCAGCAATATTGTGATATTACTAGACCACAGATGTTGGTGGACCAGTGTGTGTCAGATTTTAGAGGTTCAACCTCTACTCCATGTAGAGAAATCAAAGGCAAAACATATCCTTTCCTTGAAGAGAGAAATTGTGTTTAATACATTCAGAAGTCAAGAATGTCCAGTGGAAAAATCTAATTAAGGGCCTGATTTTCAGATCTATTTAGAACCTACTCCTCCAAATTGGTGTGTTCAGCTATATTTATTGATATTCAGGATCTGTAGCTTTTACACATTTGACAGTAACACTTACCACTTGGGTATCTCTTCAACTCATACTTCTCAGAAACCGTTCCAAGGGACTTAAGATACTGGTATCAAAGCAAGCTAAGCAAAATCTGTCCTGCATCTGGAATCCATCAATATAACCGTAAAATCAAATGAGACCTGTTTTAAAGCTCACTTCTTTGACACAAATGATTGGCTGGCAGCTTACAATAGCTGTTCATCCCATTGCTTTCTCTACATAAGCAAACAGTCTAACAAATAGGTTCTGTGACTTTCAGTAGAGGTAAGCTGTTTTTTGGTTTAAAAAAAATCTCCCCTGGGTATTCATAAAGATTATAGTAATCTTTATAGCCATGGAAAAGAGATGTCACATCACTTGACACCGGCAAAAATTATGAACAATGGAAAAGTCATCATAGGATGCTAACATTTTGAGCAGTTGGGTTTTAATCCTGATACATAGACTTCTCCATTGAAGAGCAATCCTCAAAAACAAGAGAAGGGGATTTGTTTGTGTCCTTAGAGTGAAATGAAACCTTTTTCTCCTGCTGCTTTCATTAGCCATATGTTCACTGCATACAATTGAAATGATTGTACATAGCTAGAAAGTGGCAAAAAGAAAACTGTACATGCATGTATGGTAGTACTGTGTACTATGGAAAGAACATGAACATCATAGAATGGGTAGTGCACATCAGCCAGAAGTTGTCAGGATGTAAATTCACGAAGATATTTCCTGGAAAGGTTAGCGATTAGATCGGAGACCATCTGACAGGAAAACATTCTTTCTGTTGAACACTTAGGATACAGCTTTAAACAAAGACACAAAAACCAAGCAATTACTGAGAAATATTGAGGCTTCTGTTATCCTGGGCTAAATCAGCTTCACAAGGCATTCTGCCTGTGCCATTAAGCAGAAAGTTTTGACTGATCATACTGTTGATAGGAGAAATGTTTGCCAAGATAGTGTATAAACTGGGATTTCTAAAATTAAACTTCCTTTAGCTGTTGTGTTTAACAAGAACCAAGCAGATACTTGGCAGTGGATACCGTATCCACTATCTGTTGACTGACCTTCTTGTTAAGTCCACTTATACTCCTCAAAGCTAAATCTTATCCTTATGTCAATTCTTTATCTTCCACAAAGTCTCTTTATCTTCCTGGCCTAGAGTGTATGAGACTCAAGAGAACAGAGTTTGATCACGTTTAAGGTTTCATTGTAGTGTACTGGCATACTATTTGAATTGCTAGAGCTTGGCATAACCTTTCTCTGTCAAACCTCTGATTGTTTCTCCCAAGGCTTTCTCATTTCATTCCTGTCAGTTTGAGTTGCTTAGGTTGTTGGGCTCATGAGAGAGAAACAATAAATACAGAATAAATAAATTTTAATTAGACAAGTCAATAGCAAATCCTATATATAAGCTAGGCAGTACTGCTCCAGAGGCAAGTGAAGATAAAAAAACCCTTCCCTAGTGTCTAGAGCAGTGTTTCCCAATTTTATTTGGCCACGGAACCCCTAGAGTTGCCTTTTAAAAAAAAAAAAAAAAAAAAAAAAAAAAAGAAAGAGGCCCTCTGCCATGTCTCTGTCTCTTTAATAGGGGGCCGGAGAGTGCGGGCTCTTCACGGAACCCTTGTTTTCGCTTCACGGATCCCCAGTGTTCCCCGGAGCACCAATTGGGAAACACTGGCCTAGAGCACCTTCAAATGGACAAAGTTATAAGGGACAGGAATACTAGCTGGGTTAGCCAGTAAGCTACCCATTCTGACAGTTTGTTTTTCAAAGGCCTTTACTGATCAGACAGAAGGTTAGAATCTTCCCTTATCAGTCTCTAGAGATTATGCTATACTTTATGCTCCTGCTGCTAGTACTTTTTGTCTGCAGTGATGGAATTTGCTTAAATTAGAACATTGAGCTAATTTCTCTTCCATGTCTATAATTTTTCAAGAAGGGACAAAATAGTTATAACCTTTTTTTAAAAAAAATCTTGGTGCCAAAATTAGATTTTACAACCTGTATTTAAGACCCAAATTAAAAGGGCTGAGCATCTGCAGTTTGCGCAGGTTGTATATTTAATTCAGAAGTATATATATGAAAATATGGCAGGAAATGAGTTACTTCTTAAGAAAGCACACTGTGTCTGTCATGTGAATGTGTGTGTATATATAACATCATATCCATCACCAAAGGGAGTGTGCAAGTGTCATATGGAAGGCTTATGCTGAAGAGATTTGTGACTCATGCTTTAATCTTAAGATTTTTAAGGCAAGAACATGTGTGTAGTGTCTAGTACAATGGGACCTTTGAGTGCTACTCTTAAAAAGAAAATTTGTAAGAAAGAGTAATCGCATGGATAGAAATGATAAGGCTGCAATCTAAAGTGGTGCTGATGCTTTTGTCACTATTGATTGACATTTTGACATAAGTAAAATACAAGTTTGGTTGCTAGTTTCCAAAAACTTCATAGGCTTTTTTAGTGTAATAGAGATAAGTGAGTTAATCAAGTTCTGTTAAAATGTCTTCCTTATAGCTCCTTGTTGGTACCATCTGATATTCCAAAACCAGAAATAAATTGCTCTTGATCTGGAGGTTATTCTGCCCACATTGGTTTTAAAATAAAACATTTTGATACTGAAACACATTAGACACCAAGCTGCGGGAAGACTCAACCTACCTATACAAGGGTGTTGGTGTGGGCATGCATGCACATATATATTTAATGTGTGCCCACTAGCACGAACTAGCATCACTCCTCCTGTGAAAAGTACAGAAACTTCACCACCTGTTAAACAGGAAGGTGCTCAGATTTCTACCTGTATGCAGTCTTGTACCTTGGGAGTGTCATCTCTAATACACAACTTCATCTAATATGTCTCTAAATTTGAAGCCTCATTCTTTCTCGATGTTGTAATCAAGAAAGAATATTTTGTGTCTCCTACAGATGCCATACCTTTGTGGCTGGGG